AAAACTCCATTTTAAAGAGCATGGCTTAAATTAATTTTACCTAATAAGGATCAAACATTACAGTTCATTCACTTAACTAGAATAGAAACCACACTCATAATAAGAAACTTTCTCTGAGTGTGAAAATGTGTATTTTAAAAGAGATCAGCTTAGACTCTTCCACTAATAAGGTCAAATGGATCATTCATTAAGAACATGAATCATATATAATAAAGAACAAAAGACATAACAGCTAAGCCATTATTTTACATTTCATATTTCTGTTATGAACACAATTATCCAAGCAAGATTTGAGCAGGCCTTCTTTGCAAATGAAGGTTTCTAATTTAATGGTGTGGAAGAGCCTTGGCTCAGGTAGCATGGCTCAGAAGAGCTTCAGAAATTAAAACAAATTGTCTCAGATGTAAATCAAGGCTCCAGGTGGTCCTGGCTTTTCATCAGGGCTTGCTTCATAAGCAAACCTAAACAGATTCTCAAAATAAAAAAGTAAACATGGAAGCTCCCCCCAAAATTCAGAAATAAACCCTTCTCTTTGTATTTCTCTGATGCTCCATGACAGACCTTTTTATATAAATTGTGAAGATGCTGGACTTTTCAAGGCCTGAGAATATCAGAAAGCACAATGTCTGATCTGTTGCAGAACCTGTAGAAGCTGAGCATTTTATTAACAAGTAACTAGGTCATTATTCATGAACATTTTGGTATGCTAAAGGTTTCTGCCATATTAGTGCCCCAAATCCTCAGTTTGCAAGATAGCCATCATAGAATCCAGGAATACATTATTTGTCAGACAAAACAAGTGTTATATTGGCAGTTATTCTAAAAGAAAAGGCAGACATTAAAAGTTGTGGGATGCCTGCTGACTGAGCTTAAATAGCAAGATTGTGGCCAACATAATTTGGAATTCAAATCTTTTATTGATTAAATTTCATACTATAAAAATCAACAAGGAACACGTTATACTGGTTATGCTCACTGAACCAACTGCAGCAGAAAAACGTTGTAGTGACACATGGTGTGTGAGCACAAGTGACCTGGAATAGTTGGATCAAGTACATCTGATTTCAATAATCACTGTTCAAGACAATTCCTTTGCCAAGGACTGCCTACAGGGAAAGTGGGGAGAGTTCAATTATCATGAATTTTGTAGTCATTAGGACAAATTGGATATATGCAATGAGATTGCATTGAGTAACGATATTGAGAAATTCACTTGCCTTTGTACACATTATCCTATCTATATTTACCCATCTATAATCAGGAAGCCACTCATTCCTGGTAAGGGTCATAGCCTAGTGTTGTTGTAATAGTACTACTAGTGGTAATGATATTCCTTGCAATTACATAGTACTTTGGATCTCAATTCACAAATTAGAAGGGCACCCCGTTATCCTCAAGTGAAGAGCAACATCCTGGGTGAAACCCGGCAGCCGTTGTGTGCCAACACTTCTACTCAAGGTCAGGTCTATTAGAGGAGTGACACCACAGGAGCCACCGGTGGCTTAAATTGCTAATAAAAAAAGTAAACTCATTGCCTTCAAAAAACTAAGCTGGCTTTCCTCATATCAATTTTGTTTGAACATTTTTATGAAGTCAGTGAAGCTCCAATAACAATTTCATGAAACTTCACAAAAATGACCTAGATTTATTTTTTAATGATTCCTTTTTAATTATGCATATTAATGTAACATCATTAAGTTATGGTGGTTATTTTGGAAAGTAAAGCAGTATCATATATATATAGGCTGCGTTCAGTTTTAGAATTATCGTAGTGTAGTTTTTGTTGTTAAGCACATGTGTTGCTAAGCATGTTAACACCAGTTGTCACCACACACCAGTTATCAGTGGGGAGGAGAACAGAGTGATGAAGCCAATTCATACATGAAGATAACATAATACTACAGTACTACAAAGGTAAAATTATGGTGTAAAACCACCGTGGTAAACTTACACAGAACAGTTCAAGTAAGCTTAGTAGTGGCAAAAAACACTATAGTTTGGTCATGTGAGATTAACCTGTCTATTCAGTGAACATCATGTCGAATAGCCCTGTCTTTCTCACACCTGAAGAAGGCTCCACGGCCGAAACGTTGTGTTTTCTGTCTTTAAGCAAGACTATTAAACAACAGAAAAAAGTTTACGTGAGATTGCAATTGATTTATGATATTAGCATAAGGATCTTACAGTATTCTTGATCAAACATATGAATATATGAATGATATTAATAACTTCGGGACCATGCAAAGAATAGCTGGTAGGGAATGATAAGTCATACAATCATTACGGGGGAGCATGATTACACTCGAATTCTTCATAAAGACAGTGGGAGGAGTCACGTGCCACGCCTTTCATCACATTAAATTGCAGCATTTTAGCATAACCGGTGTTTATTGCTTAATAAGTTGATAATTATTTACCTAATTATGGATGTAATAAAGACTTGCATTGTGAAGGGATAATAAGATGTGATATTTCGTTCTTAGAAATGAAATGTGGGGGGAACCACTTCTTCTGGAATGCCAAAATATCACGCAGCGCACTATTTAAATAGAGTTTTGCTTATTCTATTACCAGCCCTTCTCCAGGAATTTACAAACAGTATCTTCTTATCTTCTAAGAATGTTTAGGTTGCTTATTTTCTGATCCAAAATTTACAGATAGAACGAAAGACAGATTAAAAATAAATCAAATGTGAGACTGTCAAATTGCATTTTGACAGGTGACATTTAAAAATTGCGGAGGTTCAATTACAAATTCGAATGCCTGTTTTTATCGCAGCATATATTCTGAGCAGAAAGCGGTGCACTCTGTCGGCCAATGTTTTTAGAAATTGCACGTGATTCTTTGGTTCCGATTATGGTTATTCTAAGATTTTAATCCAGACGTCGGCAAGTGTTGCTAACGTTCTTCCCTTCCTTCTCATGTTTTTCCCAGAACAAGCGAGAGAGCATGAAAGTTGTCTGACGTTGTGACTGGGAGAAGACAGAACCTCGTCTATTGGAGCTATAATGCCCACAAACGACACTGGATTTCACTTTAATTAGATCTGTCCATCTCTCTTCAGTACATGAACTACTTTCTTTTTACCTACGCTTCTCCAGCTCTGGCTTGTATCCAAACACATACCCTTCTATTCCAGATGTGCGGTTGAACGTACTTTTCCAAATAAGAAAACTTGGTAAATCGAAAAATCTAACAGACTGCAGAAACGGTACAGCGGATTTCGCACGTTTTAATGCCAAGGTAAGAGGACAGTTAGTAAATATATCATTTGCAGGCGCTATTATCGGCACTATTTATAATAAATTTAACATAAATATTAAATTGCCTTTAAACGAAGTTCATATTATAAATATTATGCAATTTATTATTACAAAATGATTTTTTGCCATGCATTTTTTACAAAGTGCAGAATACTGCAAATAATGCATATTTTTATTTTCAGTAGATATGTGTTTGAAATCAGAAAATGAATGCAGCAGTGAGCGTTTCATTTTTATAAATTGACCAAGTATTTTATTTTTTAAGAGATACTTTGGCTTATAAATATATATATGTATGTATGAATTAAAGAGGTAGTTTTATTAGTAGCACATGATCATTTCTTCTAGGTAAATTCTTACAGACTAGTATAGTAATAAACGAATGTAAGTAAGGTTATGCAAATTAAAGGACTGGACTGTGAACACCACGTTTTTTGCTTTTGTTTTTTAAGTTGTAATTTTTTAAAGAGGGTCGCGTATTGAGAACAAAGCGAACAGATGTCATACACATTAGCAATAGTGAGGTATCGTGCGTTTAAGTGCGTTTAATAGAGTCCATTTCTCAATGGCTTGTTCAACGACTATATATTTTTTAGTAACTGTGTATACTGTACGTCTCGTAAGGCTGGAGTCAAGTATTGGCAGAACAAAATAGCATTTGGTAGTGTATGCATGTGGTAAATGTATATATGTACATATCCTTTTTGTGTTAAAATATACATCTTGTATATAAATGTAAAATTGTAGAAGTGTTGATCCTACAGTTCACTTTAGTTCACTTTGACTCAACAACCAGATGTAGCATCACTGAGACAGAAGTTTATAAACGATATTTTTTGTGATTCATATATTACTGAATAACACTCTTGGAGATATACTAGTAGTACAGTAGGTTATCTAGAAAATTCTGGCATAGAAATGCAGTGTGAGTTTTAATTTGTAGAACTACTTTTTAGAAGCTCTCTGAAGATGGGGTACATATTTACATAAATTTGATTAGACATGGAAACAAAATGCAGAACTTGGTAATTGAATTGAGAGATCCCATGTTCCCAAGCACTGCATGCTAAGCTTATAGTTTAGCAAGGGAAGACATGGTAGGTTGATCTGATGTCAAAATAATATTTTAGTTTTTGGGCAAACAAAACCAAGATGTTTAACTGAATTGAACAGCTATGTTAAGTGATTTTCTCATCACATTGCACACAACTATGAAGCCTTTTGTCCATCTCCTTACAAGTGTATCTTGTATTGAACAATACTCCTTTGTTCAATTAAAAAATAACTTTGTATATCTATATATACAGTATATTATTTTGTTTTTAGTGTTTATTACTAGTATTCTAAAACAGTCTCTGAACGTTTCTTATGAACAGCTCTCCTATCATTTTCTTCCTTAAAATCAAATATAGTTGATTTCAGAAATTTGGTGCAGGGAGACTGTTTAACTGCATAGGGTTTTTAAAGTTTAGATTTACCCCTTAGATTTACAGTTAAGCCTTGTAATCTGCATTGGCTCGGTGTCAGACTGAAGTGAGCATGCAGATGAGCTAATTTCTTTAAAATTGACAAAGCATAATCTTACCCATGTTTTCCTAAATGGTTTGAGGTACAGAGACATGCATAAACAGTATGAAGAACCAATAAGATGAGTATCAGGACCAATATCATTTGTTGCCTTTTAATGCATTAACTTAAACATCAATCTATGCAGAAATGTTTGGTCATAATTATGACAACACCAAGCCCAAAGTTTGGCTAGCTCAATGGAAATAGTATAATAACTAGTAAACTTTATTTTATATAGCACCTTTTAAAGTGGCTTCTTAAAGAGCTTTACAGTTTGAAAAAAAAAGTACACAATGAGAGGAGACAGCACAATTACACAACTACATTAAGGGTTTGGAATAGAGTAAGAAAGCAAAAGGGCAGATACAGAACCAGTTAAATAAAAGCCCTTCTAAAGAAGAAGCCTTTGAGTCTTGATTTGAATGTTCTCAAGGTGACCCCAGATATCTTTATAAATAAACTGTGATAAAAATATAATAAAGATAACACCTACACAAAATGAGACAGTTCAAATTTACATTACCAGAACTCAGTGAACTGTAGGTACAAGTCAGCTTGCTCTGGGCCAGTAATGGTTCTTTACATAGATATATGGTTATCATTCCATAGTACTTTGAACCTGTGTCAGACATGCAGTGACTGATACAATATATATGCAGCTTTTTTTGATTTATCTCACAATGAATTGAAGTGGGAGACCGTAATAGGACATTGAATTATAAATAAAAGGCAAAAAGAAAAAATAAAGTATATATTTTCAATAAGAATTGTTTTATATAACACAGAGGAAATGAGATTCAGTTTTGTGACGGAGCTACCTCTTAAAGGAAAAAAAACTGTAGAATGAAGTACACCTAGTCTAATCAAGTAATTAGCACCCAGATGAAGCGCAATTCCACATGAGAGGATGGAGCTGTCAGGATAGACTCTGCAGGGAGTTAACCACTCCCTTGGGTTAATTAAGAGCCATTTAAGCACATCTAGGACAAAGAGGGTTTAGCCAGAAAGGAGGGTGAGAGTGATGGAGAGGAGTTCTCATTTAGTAACAGCTTGAATAAGCTTCACTATTCATTATTTACTAACAATCCTGCAGTGCCATATTCAGTTAGTCTCACTCCAAACAATTGTCCCTAAAGTCTCATAAACTCAAATCTTTGCTCCTACTCTTTACCAAGCAGTAGATCTTCACTAACAACCAGTCACAATTCTCTCTACTGGCTGATCCTGTTTAACCAGGGATCCCTCTCTATAACTACCACTTGTGCCCCTGACAGCAGCTGCCAGTTTTGTCACACCAAGTTCACCTGCAGTCCTCTCTCTCACAGTCGTCCCAAAAGTCATTTAACCTACCTGATCAGTATATCTTTGGACTGTGGGAGGAATCCAGCACAAATGGAGGAAATACACATGAACATGGGGAGAAGATACAAACTCCCTGCAGATAATACCTCAGGAATTAATCACAGGGCCCTAGCGCTGTGAGGCAGCAGTCCTAACTACACACAGATGCAGTAGTTTAGTGTCTCTTTAATTACGTTCAGATTTACACCCATGACATTTAATGGCTTGAAGAATATTGTTGCACCAAGGAGTTTTTGACTTGTGGAATGTTTTGACTTTCAGGAGACCATGGCTGAGGAGCTGAATGAATTAGAGGAGCTTAGTGGAGAGACACAGGATATGAACTCAACTGCCTCTGAAACAAACATCACCTACTCCTTTTACTATCAGCACTCTCCCTCTGTGGCAGCAAGCTTCATCCTAGCATACCTGTTCATCTTTGTCCTGTGCATGATTGGGAATGGATTGGTGTGCCTAATCGTGCTACGGAATAAGAGAATGCGAACCGTGACCAACCTCTTCATTCTTAATCTGGCCATCAGCGACTTGCTTGTGGGAATCTTCTGCATCCCAACTACACTGGTGGACAACCTCATTACAGGTTAGCCTCCTCCTGGGGCCACACTACACTAGGATCAACTGTGCCTTATTAAAATCGGTGTCTTATGTTATGGTAAAAGCAGAATTGTTTCTTTTCTGTAGCTAACAAGCAGCACTGTCTTGTTATTTTTGGAGTTTTCTTTGGAGCCTGCTGCTTATTACTGTGTTCAGGTAAAGTTGAGTCATGCATGTGCTCGATAAGATACATCAGACATCTTAGAAATCAGATATAGCTCACGAGTTTGAAGATACACTTGATTAAAAGAAAACAATCTGAATAAATCTGAGAGACCAGGAAAGGAATATTAAGTTTGTTCACTTAATCAGACTGGGAAGTCACGTGAAACAAAGTCAGTGTAATAGTAGTGTGAAAAGAATGCACAGAGGTTAATTCGAATCTGAAAAGTAGAAATACTGTAGCTTGTGTCTTTAAGTATGTAGAAGAGAGGGTGACAGAACAGAAATATAAGGCAAAGATGTAGGGTAGGGAAGATAAAAAACATAAAATGTGACAGTGAGTAGGGTAGGTGAAATCAGGGCTAAAAGAGATGGACATCTGGGCAGTGAATTCCAGGGAAAGTGTTGTAGGCAGAAATCTGTATATGAAAAGATTAAACAGAGATTAGTCAATCGTTAAGTGCTAGTGAACTATGTGAACCAAGCTGAAAGATTGGATGTCAGCACTGAATGGCAAAGGAAACTGTGGACACTAAATGTATTTGTGTTAGGACATGTGGCATGACATGATTGGGGGTTCTGGTAAAAAGAGTTCCAGTTCCAAGTTTAAACTACACAGTGGATGGCAATGAATATGTATTAAGTGAAGCAATCATTTAATAGATCGTAACAGAGCTGGAAAAATTATTTGTAATGCACCTTGTTATGAAAAGTAAGTGTTGCTTCTTGAGAAACTCTGCCGTCTTTGAAACGTTTTAATAAACCATTAGGGTTTATTATGTAACTCCCACTTATCATTTAAGTAGCTAGAATGGTTTAATTTGAACACAGATCCAGGAGTTCGAGCCAGACTAATCACGTGCTGTAAAACTCTGTGAGCGCATTTCTACAATAACAAATATTATCTGTTTTTTGTGTCTGCTCGAAGATCATTACAGAATTGGTGAGAATGCATTCTGCTATACAGGGTTTATATACAAGTTTACATAGTGTCTGCCCAGCAGTCAATCCATATAATTGATTTGACTTATGTTCTTCTTCTGTATTGTTGATTAGTTTAGTAATTTTACCTATAATAGTAACTTGAGAATAGAGCACCTTTAATTACCTTGTATAGTGAGTTTTGAAAGTTAAATTTGTTTTAAATACATTGAAAAAAGGGTATTTTTTTAAACGAGTTTGACAATTGTCAATTGGGATATAACAAGATTTTGGCAGTTCTTTATACAAAATGTCAGGTTACAAAGCCTTTTGCGGCTTCTTTCACACAACGGCTGAATAATATTGCCAATCAACTCGCTACTTTCTACCAAATGAATGGCCTGCCCTTTGTAACCACTGTGCTGAAATCTTGTTTAGTTGAAAAATATCTGCCAATTTCTCTAAACAAAGTGAGGAATCTCAATTTCTTCTCTTTTTTTTTCTCTGGATAATAATATTTTGGCTGACAAGGTTCATGTTGAATAACAATTAGATTGATACATCTATGCAAAAATACAGCATTTCAGGAGTGTCTGGCCGCCTTGAACATTTAAGCATCATTTCTAAGATCATAGGAAGTGCAAAGCAGAATCAAGGAGACCTAGCAGTCCTATGGTTAGATCTAACCAATACATATGGAACTATACCTCACAAGTTGGTTATCACCAAGATATAGATCTACTATGATCTACCAGTCAGGTTTCAAGTGCTCCTTCAAGACTGCTTCAATTGTTTCAAGATACACTTCACAAGTAGGGAAGAGGCAGAGGTTGGAGGTAGGCATCATCGCTGGATTAGTTCAAGTAGGTAGCTGCGTCAGCATGCGTACTGTAGGCTGCAAAGGAACAGGTAATGAGTTTATTCCATGCTGATTCCATGCTGGGTTTATTCCATTTTATTTTCAGCATGGAATACCTGTTCCTTTGCATCGTCTCTGGATGCACTATATCAGTCATCTTGTTTTCTGCAGCAATGAACCTTCTTGTGAAATCAGAAATCTTAAGCAGAGGAGCAATTCTGGCAAGTGGCATCAAGCAGGTTGCAATTAGTGTGTTCATGGATGATCTGACTGTTACAGCTACAGTCAGTGCCAGAGGCCAGGTGGATACTAGATGACCTTGTAGAGCTCATAAGCTAGACTAGAATGGAGCTAGACTAGACTAAAATAAAACCTTATTGTACATGTATCTGCCATAAATGTAAAGTTGTTCCTATGTGAATCGTAACTTTTATAAGAATTTTGTATTGTCTATAATTGTGGGAGCTATAATGGAACTTTTTCAGTAGTGGATGGCATGGGAGTGTGGTTGTTGGTGCTACTGTTTTCCATCTCATAAGATGATTCTTGTCTTTTGTGTAGAAGACAGGGTTCTCACTCTTGCTACATTGGGTTTGTTTCACAATCTAAAAAACATGCTATCTGGGTTATTTGGAATCTCTAAATTCTGTGTGTGTCCCAGTGATGGAGTGGCATCCAGGGTTTATCCTGCTTTGTGTCTATTGTATATCAGCAATTCAGTCCTGTACTGAAATTGAATAGATGGATATTAATACCAGTTTCACTAGCATGGTTCTTTCAAATCTTATGAAGGTGGCCTGTTGTGACTATCTCAGCACTGATCAAGTCATTGTTTACTCTTTATGAAGATAACTAATTTCCTTATCTTTTCCATGAGCTTCTCTTAAAATAATAAGTTATTGAGTAGGGCATTTTTGTTTTCTTTGTCTTTCTGTCATATTAATGTGAACTCCACTAGCTGAGGTACTATCACCAAACAATTCCTAGTCAGCTCTGCCTTCAGACTTGGAGTGGGCAATATTTCTCATACAAAGTCCACCAGTTCCATTATTCACTTGCAGTAGTCTGTGGAAAGTACTTGAGGTACTTCTATTTCATTTTTCAAATGATTTTGCAGCATGATCTCCTTGCCAAGTATCTAAACAATGGAATGTTAAAACAAGAAAGAAAAAGTCAAATGTTTACCTATAAAATATTTCATTATCATGATTTAAGATTATTAATGATGTTAAAGGACATTTACATCACTGATTATTGAAGGTGTAGCCCTGACCTACAGGAAATGAAGGAGCCTTCTTTCTATGAAATGTGACCTGCTTTCCTCACAGGGCTCACAATTTACATGTGGACTAGTAACTTCCATTGTATTACTCCTCTAGGCTGGCCCTTTACCAACTCCATCTGTAAGATGAGTGGTCTGGTTCAAGGCATGTCTGTGTCTGCCTCCGTCTTCACTCTTGTGGCCATCGCAGTTGACAGGTGAGTGTGGCTGTGTGTTGTAATTGAGAGTGCTGCTGGCCTGCCTGATCAAAAGGTATCTACCTACACATATACTGTACATACTACTCAAAGTATACAATGAGTATTGTGTTGACATGATTCCTCTAGTTCTGCATACTGTTCAGATCCCCTTATTTCGTCAAGGGTCAATGTTCCTTTTTTGTAAAGATTGGGTTTTTCTTAAAGCTATTTTATGCTGTGAGATTCATATCCAAAGCTTAGTGATAGACGATTCTCTGAGATTGAGGTTCAGACCTGGGGTCTGACTTCATATGCAGCTGTACAATAATTGCTGTGACCCAGGTCTGCTGTTAATTAGTCTCTGAGGGTGCTAGAGAGTTTAGAGAACTAGACTGCAATAGAAACCATTGTGCATCATGAGCTTGTGTCATTTCCCTCTTCTTGAGAAGAAGGCTGAAATTTGGGGTCTAACTTCCAAATGCTGCACCCCTGTATATAGAAGGTTACAGCTTACCCACCAATGGGGAACAACGTCTTGAGCAGAATTATATTCATGTTGCTTGTGTACACAAAGAATGCTGACTATATTGTTACTCTCAAATGGGATGGGGAACACTCCTATTTTCCTAGGTTATTATGAATGAAATAACCAGACGTTTTTACACATTAAATGATTTTTTGTTTTTTATGGAACTATTGTTTTTTAAAGTCCAAATGTATTGTTTCTTTTTTTGTCATGATTATGGATTTTCAGGAATTCTGAGTGAATAGGACTTCCTCAAAAACAATGCCACCCAATATATGTGTATGTATGTTACTCTTATCCTTAGAGTGTGTATATAGTGTATAATATATGGGTTTTAACATACTCTGTATACCTGTTAATGAGCGATTTAATTGTGGTATGAATACAAATCCCAGTATGAGATTTCTATTTTTCTTAATTATTCATTGTAGTGACTTAATGAATACATTTTTATGATTAATTTTTCATACCTTTTTTTTCTTTATTCCAGTTCATTTTTGTTCTTTCCGTCCTCCGTAATTACACGCTGTTACAGAAAAACTTTTTTATATTGTCAGTTAAATTATTCTCCAATTTTATCAACTTGGTTTTGTTTTTGTTAAATCTATTTAACAATCGTGATTAGTAACTTTACATCTCGCTTGAATGATTCCAAAAAATAAGTTAATTGTACATTCAAAATTCACAGTGCACAGTAAGTACCCATGATTAGCAATAGGTCGGTGTCCTGGTGCTATGTTGGTCTCAAGTGGGTGTTGCCATTATTTTGGCTGTTGTTTTAACAACAGGAGCTTATTGTCTGATACATGACATAACTAAAAGTTACACTTTGTGTTATCAGAATTACAGAGCTGAAAACAAGGACAAGAGGGATTGCTGATTAGGTTTGGTTGGTTTATGTGTTAGAGCCTCCCACCTTCCAGGACAGTAGAGGATCCCCCTCACAAAAAACATTTTTTGTAATTTTTAATTTCTTTGGACACCTTTTTCTACCATATACAAAATATAACACCTTTCTGTGTCCTTCAGGGCAGATTCACTGTGCACTAGCATGAGAAGAAGCCAAGCAAAAGACAGAGAGAAAGTCATAGTCACACCTAGAATGCTTAGGCATGCCCCAGAGCTGAGAATATACAATCACTTATGTTGATAAAGCAGCAAAAGTAGAAAACTACTAATCACAATATCCCTTCACACATATCCCTTCATATGCATGACTATTATCACTCCCTGTTCTACCCTTCATTTGCTGTACCCTGGTATATTGTATAATTCAGATTAAGGAACATTTTTGCTATCATGTCACATGTTTCGAAAAACATACATCATGTCTTTTTGTGAGAAAACAGTTTCCTAATGTCAGTTGTTAATATAGTATGTGCATTTCATGTTTATGGATAGATTTATAATCAGGCAAAGAAATGTCCTTCCCTACTGATGAGAAAACTAAGGAGAGGAACAGCATAGTGGCATTTGAGACTGAACAGAGCAAGACTAAAGATGCTGAGAAAAAATAAAACGGCCAAGATCAAAATCAGGTGCCAGTGTGACCAACACTAATATGAGTAAGGTCCATGGTAGCTCCATTTACAACAAAAGTGAGAGATATTATCAGGTACAGTAGGTTAGAACTAGCTGAATCACAAGCCCAGAGTCAACAGTTTTTTGTGACTCAGTAGCTAAAATCCAAGCACCAGTTTCATCCAGAGCTAAAGATCCTGACAGAGATTACATTCAGGAAAAGTTCAGCAAAGTCCAATGGCTTTAGGAAGGTTTGCAAGTGGAAAAACCTATTGAGAGCCTGCATAGTAACAGCCGTTAAATGAATGTTAATCTAACTACAGCCTGCATTTGGTGATCTAAACCGAATGAAAGAAGCCTGATGCACTTTAAAGAAAATTGTCTTCTATAAAATATATACGGTGTCAGGGTCACTTACAGTATTATTAAAAACTTGGTTAGAGCAATCAGTCTACAACTGAATTTTCACTGATTTGACAAATGAAATGCTTTCAATTATGGAACAGAATGTACTTTGTGAATTACTTATGGTGATGACTTTTTTCTTTCTTATTGTAGTTGAGACATGAGACATTTCAGTCAGAATTGTTACATCTGGATAGCACAAAATGACCATGACCACAAAAGGTCCCTGATGATTGTATAAGGTTCTGTCTCAATTCTTATAAGAATTACAAACAATTCTACCATTACCACTGGTACAATTATGTCTTGTAATAACTACTGTGTAACAATTTCAGTTTAACTTTTTGGGAATGCATGAAACATTGAATAGTTTGTTATGGGGAGGCATGACAGCAAATACATTGCATTGGTCAACAAGCTGGACATTGACACTGATTTTCTACAGCTTTATCGTGGTATACTAATTGTCATAGTAAAATGCTGATTTGTCAGCATTTTGGGATGTAGTAAACGTACTGATATATGAGAAAAGTGAACGTTGGTCAGTCTGGCAAAGAATCATAATCCCAGTCTCCTCTTGTACATCTGAAAGTCATTTGCAGAATTCAAAATTACCTTAAGTCTACAATTTAGTCAGAACCTTCCATCAAGTTGGACTGAATCATGTAGAAGTCCCTGCCGAGATGAGTCAGAGCTGAGATCCTCACACTGTAGGAGAAACCGAACACTGATCCTTCTGATGTACACGTCCACCCTGTCTTTTTGCCCCTACGCTGTGTCTCTTTGACCCTACACCCTTTCTCTCTGCCCCTAAACCCTGTCTTCATCTTTCTTCAGGAATGGATCTTGATGCAGTGGCAGATGAATTCATACAGCAGCCAGCAACTCAGCAAAGCATGTTAAGCATTAAAATCAAAGAGCTGTTTTCTGGGTTTTTAAAAAATGTTTTAACATTTTATACTTTTTAAAATAATTTAAATACTGGAAATGAATGCACAAGTAAGAATTCAAGGTTGTAGGCAGAAAGGTAATCCCATAAGAGTCAACAAAACCTGTACATCAAAACAGTTGTCTGGAATTAGAGACCCTTTACCTTCCACACAATTAGTTGTTTTAGTCATTGTGCTATCTCCATTTTGTTTTTAAATGTCATAAGAAAGGTTACAATGAGTGGTCATTCGACACAACAACCTCATTTGTTAGTAGCTACAGTAAGAAATATAAGGATCTCATCAACCTGTTTCTTGAAAGACTATCCACATCAGCAACACGACAGTACAACTTGTTGTAAACTTTTCAGTTCTTTTTACCTGTGAGTATATA